GGCTGAACTCGATGATCTTCCGAGGTCCCTTCCAGCCCCAATGCCTATGAAATCTATGAAATCACCCAGCCATCCCCCAAATCACTAGGGAGTTCCTGCCTCAGACCGCACCCTGGCACACCCTTCAGGAGCCACTTGAGCCTCAAACCTGCTTGTCTGCCCCTCACTCCTTTCCATCCATACTGGCTTTCCCACAAAGCCTGGGGAAGTCCAGCAGCCCCCTCCAACCCACCCCAACTCCCTGCTAGGGCAATGCAGGCTGCATCCCCACACAGACTGGTGGTTCCCTTTCCCCTAGGAGGAGCCCCAGCCCCAGCATGGTGGGGGCAGCCTCACTTGGGTGGACAGGAAAGGAGCTGTGCTGGCTGCAGCCAGGAGGCAGATGGCTGGGCTGGCTCACAGTGCTGCATGGGGCAAGGGCAGAGGTGGAGACAGAGCCAGAAGGCACAGGGTTACCTTTCGGCACAGGCGCAGAGCACCTGCCACATGGTCCCAGCACCCAAGGTGGTTCCTGCCAGTTCCATGTTGCAGGCAGACAGGGCACCGCTGGCCCAGCCTGAGCAGGGGTGCCGAGGCCTGACAGTGGGGTAGAGGCAGGTGGGTGGGTGGGCAGGGTTGCTTCCACCTAGCAACGTGTGGTGCCACCAGAGTCTGGAGCTGGAGCTGCTATCCACCCACAGACTGGATAGAATCAATTGATGGGCTAGATACAGCCCCGCAGACCATATTTTGACTACCTCTGCTGTAGCATCTCACCTTGAAGTAATCTCCGAAGGACCAGCTCCCCAGCATCTCAAAGAAGGTGTGATGGCAAGTGTCTCTGCCCACATCCTCCAGGTCATTATGCTTCCCGCCAGCACGCACACACTTCTGGCTGTTTACCACACGCTGGTACCGGGCCAGCTCACTCCGGGGATCTGCCGTGCCCAGGAAGATGGGCTTGAACTAGAACAGCAATGTAAAAGTGTAACCATTTTCAGACGCTGCCTGGTACAGTGGACTCCAACTGTGCTGTGAGAACTCTGAATAAGGAAGAAGGCACCTAGGGCAATTAAGGGCTAACTGCAACGTCAGCAGATGGGACAGTTCAGTAACTGGCTGTTTTATCACAGTTGAAGCACATCAGGGGACTGCTCCAAATATCTGAAGGAGAGAAAAAGCACCTCTTGCTGCAGAAAGGACCAATGGCTTCAAATTGCAGGAAAATGAGTTTAGATTGGACATCCAGAAAAACTTCTTCACTAGTGAGACAGTGGACCAGACTCCCTAGGGAAGCTGTGGACTCCCCATCACTAGAGACTTTCAAGAGGCTGGACAGCCACTGGTCGGGGCTGATCCAGACATAACTACTATGGGCATTTCCTGTGTTTTGCTGGTTGCCCCCTCCCTCCCCTTTTCTGCTTTAACACATGTGTACGGGTACTCTTAAGCCTTCCCAGAGGCATTGCGTATTGACTATAGCTAAGGCTGAAGACTTTGGTCAGGGTGTGCCAGTGCTCCTGCTGGGACCAAATCCGGAGGTTCCTGGCTAGAGGGTTTTAAACCTCTGCTCAGGGTCAGACTGATCATCATATCTGGGGTCAGGAAGGGGGAGAGGGGTTTGCCTTCCTCTAGCAGGAGGTGTAGCCACCTGGGATCTCTTGAATGTATACTGGCGACATTTCATAGAAGCAGAACGTTGGCTGCTGTGATTCCCCTATTTAAACGAGGCAGGTTAGGGTGCTAGGTCTGTGTTCTGACAGGGCTGATGGTAGACTCACGCACAAGCTAGATTATGATTTGTACGGGATGGTTGGGATAGGGATGATCCTACATTGGGCAGGGGGTTGTACTACATAACCTCTGGAGTCCGCTTCCAGCCTTACTTCCCTATGACTCTCGAGGGGAGAGAGACCTGCAGCCTCCTGGCTGGAGCATAGGAAGGGCACACTCCAGTCCCTGCCCTGCTTGACAACGTGAGTGAAAAGCAGTGCAGGTCTGGGATACAAGCCTCTCCCAGCTGGCCTCACCAGGGCGGGCACTGCACAGGATGCACCAGCTGCACACATGTGCACATGTACATGCACTCCTGTGCTTGCACACTTGGGAACACACATATACACGTGCACGTGTGAGCCCATGTGCGTGTACATATGCACTCCCATCCAGGCACTCACACACACACAGGTGTGCACAAACACACGCATGTGCACGCACGCCAGTAGTCATCCCTGGAAGGGACGCAGACGCGTGCGCTCATACAATCACGCATGCGCACACACCTGGTTCATGCCCGCGTTGACGAAGAGCAGCGCGGGGTCCCCGCGGGGCCGCACCGAGGCAGAGGGCAGGCGGCGGTGTCGGTGCCGCCCCTGGAAAAAGCGCAAAAAGGCCTCGCGCACCTGTCCCGAGGCGGGGCCCGGGCCAGCGGCGGCGGAGCAGCGCGGGCGACGGGACCTGCAGTCCCAGGCACAGCCCCGGACTACCCAGCGCAGGCTCCGCAACAGCACCACCATCTTGCAGACGCGGGCGCATGCGCAGGCACCGCGCTCCCTACAGCCCCTGCCACCGCCACTCTTCCCAGCTCGGCCATCCATTATTCCGCCTGGCCGCCCCCAGCGCATGCGCCGCTGCCCCCCAGTCTCGTGGAGGCCCCTCCCCCCTTCTCCCCGGGGAGCGATTGGTCCCGCCTGCGGGGCGGGATGGCGGAGCGCGGCTGTGGTGATAGTCGGTGCTGGTGTCTGCGGCGGCTCGGGCAGGACGGGCAGTGGCTGCTGCTGCGGGGCGGCGCCGAGGTGCGTGGGCTGGGGGGTACTCGACCACCGGGGGAGGGGGACTGGGGAGGGGGAGG